TGGTCAACAACCAACCACACAATCTCGATCAGCAACAGGAACACAATCAACTGGTGAACAATCAACTGGTGAACAATCAACCACATCATCTCGATCAGCAACAGGAACACAATCAACTGGTGAACAATCAACTGGTCAACAATCAACCACATCATCTCGATCAGCAACAGGAACACAATCAACTGGTGAACAATCAACCACATCATCTCGATCAGCAGCAGGAACACAATCAATTGGTCAACAACCAACCACATCATCTCGATCAGCAGCAGGAACGCAATCAATTGGTGAACAATCAACTGGTCAACAATCAACCGCAGCATCTCCAGAATTAACAGCGACAACAACGAGCTCTACTGAAGAGACTGCCAGAACATCACGAGCTGAGCGAATTACAATTGATACAATACATGAAGAACAGTCTGATTCAGTTGATCGAAAGTCTCATGTATGGGAGTACTTTGAAAGATGTCAAGATTCTGAAGTTTTGAAAGCGAAGTGTTTCTTATGTGGAGACGAACTACGGACACCAAACTATGCAACGTCTAGTCTTATTCGCCATTTAGAACAACGGCATAATTTACAACAAGCTGCTCAAACTCAAGTTTTGCCTGTACGAACAAAATCCAACAAATTATCAAGAGCAGAAAGAAAACGATTGGATTCATTGGCCATTGTTGCTATTATTCAAGACGGACGATCATATGGTGATCTGCATAAATCCGGTATGAAGAAACTTATTGATGGCTTACAACCTGGTAAGGCGCTTTCTTATTCTACTAAACGGCTTTTTGTAGTGAAAATGAAAAGTTTTCTTTAAAACTTTTTTATTAGCCAAATAAGAATTGTAACAATATTTTATTAAATTGTATGACAGCTTTCGACATTTAATTGGTTAGTATTTTAATGAGAATATAGATATACGTACTGATCTACTCATAGTTTATAATATTCAGTAGAGAATTTTAGGGATGATGCGAAATAACAGGAATTATCAGATCTTTTCGAATGAAAATCTAAACTTTAATTGTATAAGAATCAAAGTTATCAGGAATAACTTGATTTCATATCATTATTCCAAGTTCTTCGTAAAATTGTATTTAACGAGCAGTGTTTCTGCTAATGACTGTGCATAGTATATTCAACTAGCATTTTCAAGAAACTGTCTAATCATACAGCTACAAAATCACTACAAGATTTCCAATATGTATTTTGTTTTAGGTTATACCCCACCTCATCGAAACATGGTCACCAAGCATCTAAAACGTTTACATAAACAATATGCTGATCGAACAAAAAACGAGTTTGAGAAAGTGAAATATTTATCACTGACGTGTGATTTTTGGAAAGATCGTAAACAAAATTCGTACTTGGTAATTACAGGACATTATATCGATGAAAAATTTGATCAATTCTCCAAAGTTTTACAATTTATGACATTTGAAGATCGTCATTACTCACCTATTATTGCGTATGAAATCGAAAAGCAGTTGATTAATTTTAATCTATTCAACAAGCTAGTTACGATTACATGCGATGGTGCATCAAACATGCGTGACATGTTCACGTACTTCAGTCGTAGCAACATTCAATATGTGAGATGTATTGCTCATAAATTACACTTAATAATATGCAATGGTTTAAATTTGTGGGTGACCACAAAAACGAAACAAGCGACAGCAAATAATGAAGAAATAAATAACAATGTAACAACGGAAGACGAAGAGGAGGGGCAAGAAATTGGTTTAAGTCAAATGGTCAAAAGCATGTCATTTGATGTTGATCACATATCCAATGATGAAATTAATGAAAATGGTACATCATCAAAAGTAAGATACGATTTTTTTTCATTGTTTTATTACGTAATGCTTTCGGAATGCAGAACAAAATGAAATATGATATCGTCAAAATAGAGTGAGATTATCCGACAATAATTGATCAAATAGAATAGTTCTTTTATGAAAACCCTCTTGATAGGATCTCTTATTAGGCAGATTCTTTACGACTGATAGTCGATTGTTGGAAAACTTTTCCGATACATTCATCTGAGTACAATAGATCGTAGAAAGTAAGAAAAATTGCAGATTTTTACTTTATCAACAATTGCCTTCTAGAATATGTCTCCCGTAGAGATATAATATTTTTCTTTGTTCTTCAACATTAGGCCTACGCATGAATGTTAAATAAAGCACATTCTTAACTTTTAAATATAAAGAACTGACTAACTTGCTGTATTTGAATCGGATTTTATGACTTACTAATCCTTGTTTTATTTTAATAATTCTGTGATTCAATTTGTTAAATAGGATGATGTGGATGACGTCGAAGATATGGATGATTATGACGATGACGATGGGACAGATTGTGATTCTCAACCAGTTGATATATCAGATGATGTTGTATCAGATAATGAATGGAGCGATGAAGAAGATGATGAAGACATAACAGATAATTTTATTGAAGGTGTCGAGATGGGTGAAATTTCGCTTGATCAATTACCAAAAATGGTGAAAGATTTGATGGATAAAGTGCGTGAAATTATTACAATGATTAAATCGTCATCTGTGTTTAGTGGCTTTATTGATAAAAAACGAATTATGTTCAATGCACATGTCAGTAAGAAGCAGAAAATCAATCGACGATTGATCAATGACGTTCGAACGCGTTGGAATTCAACGTTCAAAATGTTATGCGCATTCAACATCTATCGTGATTTCATCAATGATCTCTTCAAGGCAAAAGGAAATCTTGGTCTTACAAGAAAACAAAAACTTCGTTTTACTCGATTAGAATTAACAATTGATGAATGGGATATTTTAAGGTCGTTAATTGATTTATTACATCCATTTTATTCTAGTACAAAGGTACTGAGCAATACAAAATATCCTACGATTGGCTCTGCTCTCTATCTCTTGAAAAGTCTAGAAGAATATCTTAGTAAAGAAGATGATAATCAATTCTTTAATGCATTACGAAAACTTTTAATGGTAAAATTCCAGCACTATATTATACACGATGTTGAACAGTTCGATATGTTGAAAGTAAGCGAAAAGTGATTTCGTACATAAATAGATAATTTTGTTCATTTTCGTAGTTATACGCCTATTTCGATCCGACTGGATTTTCGGCTCTTACAAGATTGGAACAAGTAACCGTCGAAAAAGAAATTATTAAGTTATCGAAAAACGAGTTTGCACTGCCAAAAACTAGTTCGTCATCAACAAATCAAGGAACAATATCGAAACCAACAAATATTGATAAAGCTTGGCAAGGCTTTTTGAAATCAATCAACAAAAATGTGAGACAGGATGCATCAGCATTAATAGCGTCAATTACATTAGATGTTGAAGAAGATTTGAAACGTTATCGAAGCTTAGCTTCGAAATTGTAAGTACAAGTTTAATTATTGGTAGTAATGTATTTATATGATATTAGAAGGTGTAGATTTTAAAGGACATCGATGATCTTCCTAAAAACTATTCGTAATTTTATTTCTCGTCGAAGAGAATTAGATTCTAACCCATCAGAATACTCTATTTGAAGTTATCGATTTCTATTTTTCGAAATTTCTATTATTTAATCATAATATCTGCTCGCTTGATGACAAGAGAAAAACAAATGATCTGTGTCTGTCTATAATCTTTGTCTTTAACCTAGATAATTAATCGCTATGATTTGTAATCTAGTATCTCTGATGACTAAAGATTTGGTACGTTAATTGAATGAAGTGTTGAATTATCTCTTTAAGTGTGCCAAGCATATTTCTGTTTTCTACCACGAGGTTTTTACCGAACTGCTCTGACTGATTAAGAATACATTGTTAACAGAATTGCATCGCATGCGCATATCCGATCAAGTTCGGTATATTATCATTGTGAATATTAAACAAGAGTGTCTATCCCCTTTAATTTAATAATCACAAATAGTTTCTTTGATGATTATAACGATCATCAATTCGAAAATCCTACTGTATTTTGGAAAATATATGGCATTGATTTACCAGTTCTGAGCGAGATGGCACGATGCTATTTGTCAGCACCAGCAACTAGTGTCCAAAGTGAATCAGCTTTTTCAATATCTGCACATTATGGCCGAAAAGAACGATCGCGCCTCTCACCAGACAATTTGGCTATGTCTGTGTTTCTCAAAGATAAACTTTGAGTTTAATGACTGAATGTTGACGTACAGATGAAATACTATTAACGTTTGTTTAATTTTGTGAAAGAATTCCTTTTTTGTGAAACTTCATTTTTCTCTATATTCGTTAGAACACGAAAAAAGACAGATTATAGATGAAAGAACATGATGTTCCTTTATAGGATTATGAAAAACAACTGAAAATAGAAGAGAAAATTCCTTTTATTCATCATTTATATGTCTGCCAGAAACTTAAATTAGGTTTTTTTTGTAAACAAAAATACCATAAAATAATGACTTATAAATGCACAAGTAAACAGACTTCTGAAAAAGAGCGTTTTCGCTACCCAAACTGAAACCCAAACCCAAACCCAAACCCAAACCCAAACTCAAGCTCAATACTCAAACTCAAACGCAAACCCAAACTCAATACCCAAACTCAATACCCAAACTCACCAAACCCAAACGGTTTGGGTTTGGTGCATGCCTAATCTCTAACTTCTCTTATGTCATATATCGCGATACAATAGAACTTGAAAAATCAAAGAATTTCGTAATTTCCAGGTGTTTTCAACGAAATAGTGTTCCCAGGACAAGTGTACAATTTGTTTTTAGCAATCGATAGAGCTTCAAATTATCTATCGATTGGTATATTTTGTTTCTAAATTGGGGAAAATCTCTTGGTTAGGAAATGCGAAATACTACACAACTAAAAAACCTGTATCGTCACAGAAAAAAGCTATAAAGACTAAAGCTAAGTCCGCTTTTAATACATCATAGAGTAGGCGTTACATACTACCTGGAACAACGTTTGAATCAAATTAATATCCCTTACTATAAGGGGAAAAACTGAAATCGCTTAAACTTTTGTCCCACGCTGTAGTGTCCGAAAAGTCGTACATGAGAGTACTTAACGTCTGTTCTGATTATTGCCGATTACAGATATCGTTAGATTAAGAGAGGTATTATACAGCACCGAATTTGTTTTTCGGATCAGCAAGACCAGCAAACTCTTCGGCTGTTAATGATCTCGCATGTAATGCAAAGTCATCAATTTGTCCGTACATCTTTGTATAGTTGAACACAGGAATACCAGAAAAACATTTCATTTGCTCATAATTAGTAGGCTTGACTGGCATCGAACTATCTAGGTAAATTCCTCCTATGCTCACAGAAAAACGTGAATTACTCGATATTATGGATGAAAAACGACGATTAGTAGCCATATCTAGAAGTTTTCCATTTTGGTAGAAGTAATATGTTTCTGGGCTGACGTATACTACACCAATATGAACCCATGTATTATTCAGAACTGAAGAACCATTCGGATAAATAGTGGTAAACGTTCTTGGAAAAAAGTAGCCAGTAGAGCCATTATTGGGGTTAACATGTAAACAAAAAGCACATGAGTAAGTTCCGGATGATAATCCACTGATCATTGATGATAATTGTAGAACAGCGATTGCACTATTGTCTGTAGCAGGTTTCGGTATGATTAAACGAAGCCAGAAGACAATTGAGAATTCATAATCGTTTGAATCAAGAAGTGTGAAACCAAGAGATTGAAAATACGAATCAGTCGTATTGAAAAGTAAAGTACTTTGATTATTTGATACTGCTCGATACACAGACGCACTATTAGCTAGAATATTATTTGGGCCCGCATCAACATTGATTTGATCAGAATCAAAAAGGTAAAAGAAAATTATCGTTGCTTCATATTTGATTTCACTGTCACTTTTTACAGCATACAAGATACTCAGCTGGTCAATCAGGCCATAAAAATAGTTAGCACGAGTTACTGCATTTAATCCAATATAAGATAATTCTGTTTGATTTGCTCTTGCCAATATTGGATACGTCAGATTCAAGAATTTTTCTTCAAGTCGAACACCATTCAAGTATAAAACTGTCGATCCAGTTTGATGATTAAATGAAAATGATATATACATCCAGCAGGCTTGGCATACATAATTTTGAATAGCAGCATATACTTCTTGAAGAATATTTGCATTGGTCCAATTGAAAATCCTTATATTCATAGTTGTATCTTCAATGTTGAATGCAATACAAACTGGATTGAGATAGCTACAATCCGTTAATATGTTTTTACTTCGATACCCTCCTAGCAAAATCCATGCACTCATTGTAAAACTAGTGTTTAATGTAAGATTTAATGAACGAGGTAAACTAACATATTGATATAATAATCGATTCAGTTGAAGCACATCAGCTTGTCCAGAAAAGTCACCATGAACAAAATCAACGCCATTGATAGCAGTACCATTGTATAGACCAGTCAAATCTTCTCGAGCATCACTACAGTCAAACGACCAGAAGTAATCAGATCTAACTATGCTTGGTCGAGGTCTGCATACTATAAAGAAGAAAAAGAACTTCATCAAAATTTGAAATAATATATACAAAAAGGTGCAGTAGTTCAATTTTACGATCGTTCAATGATTCAATCATTTCATACTATCTATTCTCTTTCAAACTACTTCTAGGAAACTTGTATTAATAGTAATTTTGATAATTATATTAATATTGCAAACGAAATACGTAAAGTCACCAAGTCTGTGTAAGGAAAATTTGAAGATATAAAACTATCCATTTATTCTGGGCTACTCTAACTGCTTTTCAATATACATATAATTATCTAAATCTTAACAGCAATATTTTGAGTACAAAACAGAGAAAAGCACTATCTTCGATTTAAGTGCTAGTGAGATTTAAGAACTAAAAAGTACAATTCTATGAAATAAAATTTAAACGTCATACTTGGAGGTGGAGGCGAACGTCTTGAACCAAGTACTGCACCCACTATAATGCCGGCGATACAAGCAACAATTAATAGACCCAATTCTACCATCGTTCGCTTTTTTTTGTACCAAGGTAACTTTTTCTTCTCAGGTGGATACAGCATAGCACCTAGACATAAAAACGAACATGATCATGTATAGATTACTATGCACGATTAACCTGGGAATGGAAGCTCGAGTAATGTCTCCACTGGTTTTATCTGTTTCAAATGAACGATGTTCAAATCAGGTGCTGGACGAAATAGTGATTGAACTTCCATGTGAGTGCCAGGCAAAAGAATTATTTCATCCTCAGTGACGAAATGTGAATGAGCACGTACTGTTCTACCATTGAAGACTTCGATAGAAAATAGAGTTCTCTCACCTGAAGTCCCCAAATACATGTTATTCTCAAGTACAGTCAATTCAGTTGTACATGATGAAAATGCCCACCACGTCATAAGAGTCCCACGCGGAAATTCTGCACTCAAATCTTTTGTTACGCCTCGCCAAACAGTTACCGGTGGAACACAAGGTAGTTTGACTAAGGCAGTTAAAAATAGTTTAAGATATTTGAAATATGGTCGCAAATCATCACGAGGAGCGGTCTTAAGAGTATGATTAAGTGTCGAATAGAGACTGTAATGCGGTTTTTCCCATTCTATAGTATAGAGACGAATCGCAGCACTTTCATCGACTGTCAACCCATCAGGTGGTTCTTCAGGTGTTTCTTCGACAGCCATTTGAACATAAAATGACATGTTGTGGAAAAGATCAACTAAAGGAGCACAGGCCTCAGCAAGTGATAATAAAGGTTCTTGAGCGTATCCTATCACAGGTTCGGCTTCATCTTTGACTCCAGCAACACCAGCAACTAGTCGATTGTTTCTTACACCTGAATCGCCATTCGTGTTAATGTCATTTTCCACCGATATTGCTACATCTGATTGATCAATTCTTTCTTCCCTATTCAAGTCTGTATTCAGCTCATTAAAGTCAGTCGCCGGATCATTGTTAATATCGACATTTTTTATCTTCGCATGCCTTTCATTATTTTTGTCTTTAGCCTTGCGAGTAATTGTTTTTTCATAAACCTAGAAAATGGATTGAGATGAAAAAATATGATCATGATATTGAGTGAACTTGGAAAAAATTAATTGCGTAGTTCAACAACAGAATCTATTAATCAATTCTATGTGTCATAGGATGAAAAATAATGAAAAAACTCTTTTCTGTTCGTATTTCATCGTTATTATAAAGAATTTTTTAAAAATGGTAGAGACTCACAAAAGGTAGATCCTAAATTGAAAGAATCACTGAGAAAGAGCGATAGAAAAAGAGCTGAACAGAAATGGTCTGCAGTAAATGAGCGAAAATTGAGTATGACTCATGATGGTTTATTATTCAGTCTACACTCTAAAAAAATAAGGAGTTTTACCGAACCTAAAAGGTTTCCTATACTTCGACTGAACGATTTTAAGTTCAGAAAAACGAAAAATGTTCCGTGCGTGAACTACCGAACTATTTTAAGTTCCGTAGCGTCGAGAAGGTTCGGCAATTAGTATCAAAAACCATCCACAGGTTTTTAATGCGGTATGCGAAACCATTCGTAGTTCTGTAACATGCCTACAGAACCATCAGCGGTTTAGGCGTGTCATGAGACGTTTCGTCAATTTTCTACGAAACTATTCCTAGTTTCGCAGGCAAGTTGATGGATCAGACGATTTCACGCCGACGCATCGATGGTTCGTCAGTTTTCAAAAAGTTTAGAATATTTTAAACTAAACTAGACTTGGTTTCGTGTGGAATAGTCGAAACCAATAACGAGTTTGTAAATTCTTAAAAGCTCAGTACATTCAATACAAACCCCTGCGGGGTTTCGTATGTCTATCAAAGGTTCAGTATATTCAGTACTAATCGGCTCTGAGTTTCGCATAGCATGTACGAATCT